GGGGCGGGAGAGGGGCGGAAGAGGGGCGGAAGAGGGGCGGGAGAGGGGCGGGAGAGGGGCATAAAAAAGAACAGGAGATGGGCAGCAGAAGACTGCTGGAAAGAGACAGTTGGGAGAGGGACAGCGGGAAACTGCAGAAGTGGAGCGAGCAAGGGCAGGAAGAGTCAGGCAGCAGGAAGCAGCAGGAGCGCCACAGCAGTGGAGAAACAGGAGAGGGAGCACTGACAGAGCAAGGGCAGAGGCAGGCAGCAGGAGAGAGACAGGGGAGAGGGAGCAGGAGACAGTAAGAGAAGCACAGCAGGGGAGACAAAGCGAGGGAGGCACAGAGGCACAGCAAGACAGAGGCACAGCATGAGAGAGACACAGCATGAGACACAGCATGAGAGAGACACAGCATGAGAGAGAGACAAAGCACGACAGATACAAAGGACGAGAGACACTGTACGAGAGACACCGCAGGAAACTGCACAAGGGGAGCGAGCAAGGGCAGGAGTAAGGAGACTGGCAGCAAGATAGATGATGCAAGCGCAGACGAAGGTAAGGCAGGAGAGACGGGAGCGAGCAAGGGCAGAAGAAAACGGCATTTTGTGTCAGCAGAGGAGGAAAGCAGAAACGAGAAAGATGGGTTGTGGAAAAGCTTAAGCCAAGAAATATGTACCTTGATTAAGCTCTTTCTTGTACTTTTTTAATAGCACTTTGGTCAACTTGTCCTTTATGTCTTTCTTGGCAATTGTCAAGGTCTTTCTCTCAAATGACTCCCATTTATCAAAAAGCCTCGTCTCTCGACCATTCCATAGGAGATTGAAGTCCTCAAGTAACTGCAAGAAAGATTCCAAAATAAGTTGAGGAAAACAAACATGAAAGTAAAAACGTAACAGTAAAAGTGCCCAAATTACGAAAACACTTACCAGTTCGTGGCCTGAGTTGTGCTCCAGAATTGCCCACTCGTTTAGGTAAGAGTTGATGTACGCCTCGCCACTATGAATGAACAAGGTGCGAAATCGGAGAGGAGCTGTTAACCTCCACTTTTCCAAAACTGTAGGCCAAGGAGTACGCCCCCTCTGTAGCCAAACTTTGGCTCCTTTGATTTCTTCCGTAACAGCTACGCAAACAAAAAGAACAAGGAAAATTACGAAACGTTTTGAAGAAACCCAGAGAGAATCGTAAAAGAACTTACGTTTGGCTATAATTGTTTGTAGAGAGCTCTTTTGTGGACGTGCAGAACTTGAAGTTGGCCTACCAGATAGGCCTGCAACTCGCAAATTCCTTTGCTTGCTCTGCTCGTTTCGGACTTTAATAGGAATCTTTCCTTTCGGGTGTGTCTGATGTTTGCCCTCCGTTTTAGGTTCAATATACCACGTTTCCTGGAAAAATTAGAAATAAGTTTAATTAGATCAGTACAGTTCGGTAGAATGTGCAAAAAGTCATCGCGTATCATTTGTAATCCATGTTTAGATTTCTTACCTCACTTTCTTTTGGAAAAATTGCTTTAAGCTTTTTAGAAATCTCAGGGAAGAGGCGATGATCTCCTGGATTTTGCATTTCCTTTAGGATGAAATTCTTTACGATACCAGCACACAACTCATTGCGTTGATGTTCACTGAGCCCCGGTTCATCAGTCTCATCTTCATGGTCCTCAGCACTGTTGTAAATGTGCACTGCATGCTCATAACTCAGTAAAATCTCTTTGCACGTGCAGTCATTTTCAAATAGCTTTCGAAGGTCCTACAAAAAAAAGCTAAAGTTTCAGAAACCCAGGGCATACCTAATAGAAACACACAAAACGAAATCTTAAAACAAAATTACCAATTGCTCAACAAGAGTTCTATCAGATACGGCCTTGAGCTTCTTTTGGGTGGCGCTTAGCAGTGAGGCATTGCGTTTCCTCTTCTCCAAAGCCTGAGAAGTGCTCGTGCCTGGCGTTTCGTCGCTGTGACCATGAGAAGACTGAGAAGCTGCACATTCACTCACAACTATTCCAGTGTCAGCGGAGTTTGCTCGACTGCTAATCTGTGCCTGTAGTGTAAACACGAAAAAAAAAATGGATAAGAATATCACAATGCAGTAAAGAGTTCCTGAGTCGGAAAGGTCCTCACTTCTTTGTACTCCTTGATGCGGGCAAGGAGATCAACTTGCTCCCCAAAGAACGTGGTCAGATTATGTACATTATCAGATGTCAGTAACAGCAATCTTTCAAATGTAAACTTGCGGTCTGCAAAAAAGCAAGGTGATTAGATCCAGGAACAGAGTCGCAGTGACTTTTACAGTAAGTGGGGTAGTTATCAAACGTAAATGGACCTAGCGCTCGAAAAAAAAGAAGGGCGGGAGGTGGGAAGGGGGAAGCGGGGAAATAAAAGGAGAAGCAACAACAACGAGGGTCACAAGCACAAGAGACGAGATGAAGTTCAGGACGAACGGGTCCTCTGCCTTGCCGTGCACAGTACCGGGCGCCACCTTCACACAGGACAGTGAGTGAAGTTGCCTACGCGCCGGGCGCTGGAAGCCGGCCCCCTCCACCGCTCGCGCCGCTAGAGTCTCTCCGGTGGGGAGTAGCGCAGATGGAACAGGAGGCTTCCAAATGGGGGTGGGGGAGAGGGGCGTATCCGCGCCCACCCCGCGGCCTTCGCGCTAGCCCACCCGAGAGACTCATGCGGCGGGAGCAATGGAGGGGGCCGGCTTCCAGCGCCTGACGCGTAGGCAACATTGCGCATTCTCCTATGTTTAGGTGGACATCCTGTACAGGTGGAGGGCGCAAGGGGGAGAAGAGACGCGACGAAGATGCGTTCACCAACGACGAGATAAACTGCGCGTCAAAGGGGTTCTGTGCCGCGCTGTGCACCGGATAGGGGGAGGGGGAAGGG